CTCCCTAAGCGAGGAAGGAGCTGGCGAAAGCGATAAGAGCACCGCCTATTACGCCGAAATCATAGAAAGAGAGGAGGATTCTTACCTCGTAATAGAGGCAGAAGAAAGGCATTATGTCAATTTCGCTATTGACGACAGCTAAGTCATCGAAGCAATAGGAAGACCCGACTTTAATGACTAGTTAGGCGGAAAAGCTTTAACGCATCTCTAGATCCTCCTTACCTTCGAAGGAATAAAAAAAGCTAAGACCTACTAAGTATACTACGATACCGGAGCCTCGGCTATTATAGTCGACGAGGCATAGCTTACGGAGCATGGCAAAAAGGTGACCTAGAAGAACTAAGAGCCGAAAACCCTTAGCGGCATAGGGAGAGTTACAAATATCACTAAATCCGCTACCTTTAACTTCTACCTTCCCAGAATTATATAAGGAAAAGAAGTTAAGGCCTACTTCACCGTCACCGCCGATATCATCGACTAACTTACGCCCTATTTACTACTAGGGATAGGCTTCCTATACGAGCACGGAGCTAAAGTCGATTTCGTCTACCCTAGCATCTCTTTTAGATCGGCGCATGGCATAATCATCCGAGGGGAGATCTTTAAGAAGAGAATCTCGCCGCTTAACCGAGTAGTAAAGAGCGCCTATATAGTCACGGTAAAGAAAGGTAAAACCGCTTTTATCCCGGTCACTTATAAGAACCTGCCGGCGACACACGGATCAGATAGGAGTAAGGAGGCTTTCTACTTCTAAGGGAAGGATAAACGCTTTTTCGACAGCATAATCGACAGAAGCACCCCGAGGATGGTCATCTTCCACAATACCGACGGAAAAGATATTCGGATCCATCGGAGGTAACTCATAGGTCATATCAGCAACTACGAAGGCAACAAAACTACGAACTTTATCGCTAGCGGGTCCAGAACGGTAGATTTCCTAGGCATAATCAGCAAGGATTTTAGACCAGGGGAGGAAATCGAGAACGTACTCGTAACCGGCACGCTACCGATAACAACGACCGAATTGGAAGAGACAATCGATAAAGACGACCTAATCCGTGTCGATGCCGGACTACCCAATTACGGGATTAGCCGCCCTGAAGGCATTCCCTCGGTATAGAACAGGTTCGGAGTCAAGGTAGCCAACCTCGACGAAAAGAAAGCCGCGAAGTTCATGGAGTTGACGAATAAATACGACATCTACAGGGACAAAGGCGTCGTCCCTATGCCTAAGGAAAAGAAAATAAGAATCGACCTCGTCGACGGATGGCAGAACTAGAAGAGGACCATTAGAGCCTACCTAATAGGGGTCGAAGACCGCCGGTTCCTAGACGAAGTCCACGGGAAGCTATACGCAGCGGGAAAAATGCATCACCTGGACGAACTAATACCTATCGCCTGCCCTACTTTCGTTGTCTAGAGAACCATAGATGGCAAGAAGAAGGGCAGAGTCGTGGTTAACCTGCGACCCCTGAATAGTATCACGGTGCCCGATGTGTACCTACTGCCAGATCAGGAGGATATTATGGCGGATACGAGAGGGAAGAAGTACTTTTTGATATTCGATGGGACTAGATTTTTCTATTAGCTACCTATCTATAATACGCACCGCAATCGAATAGTAGTTATATCTAACCGTGGGTTGGAAGTTTCTAACGTGGCCCTAATAGGATTTAAGAACTTACCGGCTTTTGGCTAATGGTTTATGGACGGGATGTTCCTCTAATATCGCGCCTTTATGCGCGTCTATATCGACGATATAGTAGTCTTTTCCGATACTTTCGAGGAGTACCTCGAGTATCTGGAAGTGGTATTAAAGCTACTCGATGAGAATTAATTAAAGATCGCCGCCGATAAATCCTTCATAGGATATAACGCGGTTAAGCTACTTAGATATATAGTCGACGGCGACGAGCTATACTGAACTCAAGACCGACTCGATGCTTTCGCAAAAATAGTATGCCTAACCGACCTAGCCGCTCTCGAAACCTATATTGGGATAGCCAGATACCTCCGAAAAGGAATTCCATAGTACGATATGCGAATATGCCCCTTACTTAATCGGAAGTCGCAGTTACTGCGCGAAGCTAAAGCCGCCTCGAAATTGCCGACCGGAGCGTTAAAACTAATCCGCAGGTTAAAAGCATTAGCCATCGCATTCACGCCTATGAAAAAGGAATAAAATGCTTTCGATGAGATATAGCAATTCCTAATAGAACAATTCACCCTATAGCACTATGATCCAATAAAACCACTTTTCTTTAAAATCGATGCGTATAAGAACGGCTTTAGCCTATTCGTCTTTTAGATCGACGGGGAATAGGATAGAAGCTTAATTCCTAGGAAGGATATTCTAAGCGAGAAGCTAAAACCCATTGGGTTCTTCTCGCGCCTAACCTCCGCGGTAGAGGCTAGATACGGATCGACAGAAGCCGAAGTCATAGCGTTAGCATAGGCAGTACGAAAGATAGGAAAGCTAGTGTAATTAAGTAGGCACCTAGTAAATATCATTACTAACCACGCTGTAACTAAAGGTATTATCACCTATACCTCTCTAAAGACTATTGATTTTAATAAAGCCAACCCGAAGTTAGTCAAGGCGGCTAACTACCTCTCCTAATTCGAGCTAAGGATATTCTACGTGCCGGGCATACTTAATATAATCCCAGATATACTCTCTCGCCTACCCGTCGAAGACCGATTAATAAGACGAGCCACCGAAAGTAACTTCGATGAGCTAGACTTCGTGGTGGCTTTGGCAGAAGTGGAAACAATATAAATTGGGATCACACCGGAGTTTCGTCAATAAGTAATCGAGGGCTATAGTAAGGACTCGAAGCTAGGTCGGATACGGGATTATATTAAGGAAATCTAGAACGCGGACCGCTAGAACCGACGACCAAAGATAATACCCTTCCGGCTATGGGAACTCTCCGATGAATTCCTATACTACGTCGGATACGAAGGAAAACGGAGACTCTGCATCCTACGACCCTTGGTCAAAAGCATCCTCGAAATCGTCCACGATAATAAGCACTACTTCGGAATTAACCGTATGACTTAAGAGTTAGACCCGGTTTACTTCTACCGAATGTCGAAAATAATACGTAACTACGTGGCCCATTGCCTAGTATATCACGAGAATTCAATAAGTCAGAAGCCGACTTAGGGGGAACTATAGTCGATTGCGGTAATACTACGACCTTTCCACACGATCGCCCTCGACTTCATTATAGACCTACCAGAGGTAACCGCAGCAGGGACAATGTGGTTCGTCGAAGGGCACGATAAACTCGATTGCCTAGCCCCTATTAATTGCGTATTCTCGAAAAAGATAATACTCCTAGCAGGGCATATGTCATATACGGTAGAAGACTAGGCGAAGGTGCTTATCTAGATATTATTCCTACTAGATTGGGGAGTCCCCGTACGGATCATTAGCGATAGGGACCTAAAGTTCATATCCTAGATCTAGAGAGCCATCTTTGGCTTCCTTAGAGTTAACTTCCTTATGTCGGCCGCGTATCACCCCCAGACCGATGGGATCTTAGAAAGAAAGAACCAAATAGTCGAAACTACGATTCAGTACTATACCGCAACGGATCCGGATACGCCGTGGCCGGCTCTACTCCCATCGCTACAACATAACCTCAATAACGCAGTATTAAATACTATCGGGAGAGCACTAAACGAACTAATTTATAGGTTCTACCCACGCGGAATCCTTGACCTCGTAGCTATATCCGGAATCGAGGATAAGGAAGTAGACGCGTAAGTATTAGAGGCGCTGCGTAAGATCTACTATAAGGAGGCGGAATTTCTTATTAATACCTTAGTATCGCTAGCTAAGATTAGGTACGACGCGAAGCATAAGGAAATCAATATCGACGAAGGTAATATAGTCTACCTACGACTCCATAAGGGCTATTACCTACTAGGGAAACCCAAGAGGAAATAATTACCTACGAGGGCCGGACCCTATAAGGTTATCCGCAAGATCGGATAGTAGGCATTTAAGCTTGACTTCCTAGAGTACTAGAAAATCCACCCGGTTATTTCGGTTGCCTATCTATAGAAGCTAGCACAGGGAGAGGACCTATACTAACGAATGATTCTACTACCGGCTCCCATTGTAATCGACGACGAGGAGGTCGTGGACCACTGGGAAGTAGAAAGAATTATGTAGTAACGAATCTGCTAGAAGAATAAGATGCCATATAGGGACTTATTAGTAAGATAGGTCGGCTTTATAGCCAAAGACGATAACTAGATAGCTGAACCCGAGCTCTGAAATATAGCGAGGAGCATAGTAGAAGCATAGAAGAGAGCGAATCTAGTAGACTAGGGCCTTGAATTTAAAAAAAAAAAGAAAAGTATACCTAAATCCTTTAAACCAGAGGATAAATAAGGAATAAGTACCGCCTAAAACGGCGATAAACCGGGAGGAATACGCAACTGAAGACCCAGAATACTATTTTATTTATTAACTACTTTTCATATGTCTCGCATTTATTAGGGAATACCTTTTTCTAGCGATATTAATACCTCCCTTTCTAAAAATACTAATATTTAGGATAAATCCCGGAATTGAGGGATGTTATAGTAGAAGCCCAGAGTTTATTAGATTCTTTTCTAGTAAGTAGGCACGCGAATTTAGCCTTAACACGACGGAATAAACCATGAATATATAGCACGAAACGAGGATAGAACCCAATGCTAAAAATAAGTAAAAATAAGCCGAAATTCACATATGAATACGGTCGAATTTACCGCAGGGATCAAAGTATATAAACCCCTATGACCCCGCTAAAATTTCACCCGATCTTTTACCTCGCACTATACTAACATAGACCCCATAGCATAAGCAAGGTTAGAACTAATTAGCCGCCGGCGAACCTATATGCCCGCCGCTAAAACTAACCAAACCGATAAATTATACCTAGTGAAAATGATAGGCCGCTGCTGAACTTATTAATTCACGATAGCGACTCTAGCTATTAATGACGATAGTACTCGCACTAAGGAGAGAATTGGCACTCCCACTGCCGATATAGGCAGAGTCTGCCCCGAATAGGATAAGACTATGTAGAGTAACATTAAAGGCGATAATAGCGATATCACCGACGATAATACGCCTGCTTTCGATGACCTCTTTGATAACGATAATGCTAATCCTGGCCGGAAGGATATAGATATTAGCTCGAGCGACGACGATTCCGACCATAAGTTAGACCTCGAGGAGATTAAGCTAGTTCGCCCGCGCAAATTCGGCGGCAGATACCTACTTCTTAGTAGCGCCCTAGGTAATTCCGGAGGAGCAGCTCACCGCCGACACCAGGAGCATATCGACAAGCTAATAAACAGTCGCATCACCGGTAGCAACGATAAGGACGACAGTTTTAGCGGTACCTATGCTAATTATAGATTCGACGGGCCGGTTAGAGGATCCGCTATGAAGAAGGTCTAGACCCGAATGGACGCCCTCTAGTGCCTCTACGTCGAATTCTAGCTATATAGCCCGGAGCACACCGCAGGAGAATAGCCCGACTTCGATTACTCCCGGCCCGATAGCGACTATCCGGAGTGGGATCTTTTCCTCTATATCGAACGACTAATTAATGAGTACTACGACGGCATAGAAAGCGGCGAACTCGACGAGGAGATAGCTAATAACGATACTCTTATTGCTAATAACGGTAAGATTATGACCCCTGTGACCGGAAAGGGGAAGGAGACTGCCGGAACTAAGCGCGATAAGACTAAGGGTAAATCCAACGTAGTGCGCAAGACTAAGAACCGCGTTCGAGACGCTGCAAAGGCCTATATGAACGGTGGATACGGCGAGAGTTAGGGCAATAAGAAGTAGTGGACCGACTATCTACCCGATCAGGCCGAACTTATGCTCCTACGTTTCATCGATCCCTACGGTACCACCAATAGAACTATCGCTAGATACCTCGCAACTATATAACGCGGCTGGATAATCTAGATCGGGGGACGCCTCGCCACCGGAGTCAGCAGCAAATAGGCTAGAGTCGACGATAATATATCCGTAGTCGCCGCGAATGCCGCCGCCACCTCGATCGCCATATCGAAGGAGGTTAACGAAATTAAGGCTAATATAAACAAACTCCGCGATTAGCTAGTCAATAAGGTGTGATAGATAGATGGCGAGTAGAAGCAAATCATAAAGAAGGTCTCAAAGTTATAATGGGAATCTAACTACTATTACGACGAAATCGGCAACTAGGCGATCCGAATTACCGCCTATAAGGCCACGAAGGATACGGTCGATGAGTATAATAAGAACCTCAAGGAGTTTAATGCCTAGATAGAGAAGATCGTAGTCGCAGAGGTAAAGAAGTAGCTGGCGGTCTAGTAGCCGGCTCTGGCTATCCGTAAGCCGAAGGTAACCCCCGTCTTAGTCGATCTAACCACCGAGAAGCGAGCTAATCCGGTAGTACGAAACCCGGCCGCCCATAGCAGCACCGCCGCCCGCAGAGGCATCTTAAAGGCTAACGCTTTTCTCTAGTAGGTCGCTAAACCCGCCAAGAAGCGCGCTCCCGGACCCGCTAAGTCTACCGGCAAGACTGGCGTATCCAACGGGGACGAGATTGGCTAGGACTAGAACTTTTTCGACGACGAGTAAAGCGGAGATAGATTATTTTTGGTGAGGGCTAAGGGAAAGAATAAAAGGATTAGGCAGAAGGATAATTTCGACGGAAGGATAGACGAAAGCATAGAGTTTAGGGAATAACTAGAATATAAATAGGGAGAAAATGGATTTTTGTTTTACTGCTAGACTTAACGAAGGAAGGATAGGAGAGTGTAGATTTGGACTCTACTAGGATAGCAGAGCTTTTAGGGACCCCGGCACTTATTATATGCCCTAGTTATATGGGTTCCCCACGTGACGGATCTAGCGCTATAATAGTTAAATCTAGCAGCCATTAGTTAGGAAGAATTAACTTAGATTAGATTACTTATATTATGCCTTCTTTGCTCTCTATACTTTATGAATTATATGACTTTAACTAGATAGCTGCTAAAGTTAGCTATCTTATTGCCGCTTTTAGTGGTACCTCTATCCCTTACTAGAGCTAAGGGATCCATAATACTTATATCTAGATATAAACTAATTAAATTATATCTTTAGAACTTTATAATATAGGGTTATAAAGGCAGTTAATAACCATTTATTAAGTATATATTATATCCTTAATAATATAATTAATATATTAGATCTAAATATAAGTATATAAAAAAGGGTTAATAATAATATTATTATAAAAATTATAAAAATTATTTTATAAGTATTAGATAATACCTTAAAGCTTATAAGAGACTTATAAGATATAAGTAATAACTTAAAGAATCTAATAAAAGGAGAAAAGAAAAAATATATAAAATTACATTTCTTCTTATTATAAATATATAATAAATAATAACTTAGTAAGTTATTAATAATATAAAGAATTTAATAGTTTTTATTTATATATTTTAGGTAATATATATAAGAAACCTTACTTAGATTTATCTTTTAGAAATACTTAGAAGTATTATATATATAAGCTTTAAGAATATAAAAGTATAAATAGCTAAGAGAGATATTATTAAAAGCTTTATAATAAATAAATAAATAAATAATATAAGAATAGAAAGGAGAATTAAAGAATTATAAGTAATTTAAAAAAATAAAATTAATAAGAATTATAAAGGCTATAATAATATTATTATAATAAATAATAGAATTATTATTATAAGAAAAAAAAAGAAAAAAAAGAAAATTATTATAAAATAAAAAACTCTAATTATAATAATATTAGTTATATTTAAGCTATTAATATTAAATAATTAATAATATAAAGTAATTATTAAATTAATAATAATTAATTAATTATAAAAGAAATAATAAATTTATAATAAAGATTATAATTATTATAAAAAATAAAAAATAAAAGATATAATAAATAATTAATAATATATTATAAAGAATTATTAAAGCTTAAGATTATTAAAAGATTATTATATTTAAATATCTTTAATATTAAATAAAAGGATAAAATAATTAGCTAAATAAACTTAAGAGATTAAGCTCTTTAGAGAAGGGGTAATTATAAGAGTATTTAGGCTATATTAGTTATTACTAGTAAGTTAGAGAATCCTCGGATTATTTCATAGGCCTTAGGCTATATAAGACTTTTCTCGCTAAAGGCTCGCAGAGGCTTTAATAAGTTAAAGTCGCGTTAATATATAGAACCTACCTTTTTATCTCTAATATTATCCTAATTATGCCTATTATGCCTATATCTTTATAGTATATTAGGTTTATTATTAATAAGGAGTCTTAGTATTTATTATATAATAAGGGTTATATCTTAATAATAAATTAAGATAATCTTAAAGGTAATTAAAGTCTATTAATAGCTTAAGGGCTAAATATTTATCTAAGGTATAATAAATATAATATATATATATAAATATCTTATAATTACTAAGAGGGTATTATAATATAAAAATAAGTCTTATAATATAAGACTTATCTTTAAAGTATAAGATTATCTCTAATTAGCTAATACTAGAGGATATTTTATATAGAAATTTTTAGGTATATAATAGGGACTATATTAGGCTATAATAATTTTTAAGAGAGAGAATAGCTAGATTAAACCTAAGAATACTATAAATATTAATAAGAGCGATATTATAGCTAGATTTAGCGAGTATTTATCCTTCTAGCTATTTATTTAGCTAATCTATTAAGAATCTAGGCTTAGATTCCTTAGTTATAGGTAATAATAATCCTAGGAGGAAGGCCTTCCTTAAAGGCTCTTAGTCCTATGCTTAGACTAGCTTTCTTAAAGCTATTATAATAACTAGCTATCTTTTAAAACCTAGGATTATCTTTAAAGTTTAAAAGCTTTAATAATAATAATTTATTAATAAGCTTAAAGAGGTAGCTAATTAATATTATATTATATCTAATAATAGCTAGATAAATAATTATATTATAGTTAAGTAGCTTAAAGAGGTCTATCTTCCTTAAATATAACTAAAAGATAAGTCTAATATAAGACTTATTTTCTTAGATAGTTATTAAAGTTATATATTTATATATATCTATTTATTTTAAACTTTTTAAATTAAAAATATTATTAATTTAAAATCTAAGATAAATAAATAGCTATATACTTTTTAGATAGTATATATTATTATTACTTACTAGCTTATTACTTTTATAGCTTATAGTAACTTAATAATAATATATTTAATATCTCTAAGGCTATTTATTATAAAGAACTTTAAAAACTAATAAGCCTAACTAATTATATACTAATTTATAAGATTAACTTTATTAAGGTATATATTAAAGCTAGGGAAATAAATATAATAAAGGAAAATATCTTTTAGGGCTAATAAGTAATTAGAAGCTAGCTAATTTTATAATAAAAAGCGCTTATATATCTAGAGATTTAGCTAGATAAAAAGGAAATAATACCTATATTAAATAGCCTTAGCGATAAGTAATATAATTTTAATAATACGCTAAAGACTAGCTATTATATTAAGGATCTAAGGAAAAATAAAAGCCTTTTAACTAGAAGATATTATTTTATAATATTAAAAGGGTTTAAAGTATAAGAGTTAAAGATTACTTCCCTAAGCTTAAGAATAGCTAATTTAGAAGAGGAAATTAGGTAATTAAATAGAAATAATAATAAAAAGGTAATACTAAATCCTAATAGAATATTTATAATATTAACTAAGGCTCTAATAGCTAGTAATACTATTTTAAAGCTAAACTAAGTAGCTTAAGAGATAGAGGCTATTAAGGATATAATTAAGGCGGGAAGAATAGAAGAGGATAAGAATATAAATTTAGAGGTAAAAGAAATACCTATTATATATACTCGTATATACCGCGTAGTTAAAAGACTAAGATAATATTAAAAACTATTTAAATCTTAGTAGAAAAATAGTAATCGATTTATTTTTCATATTTCTAGTGACTTATTATTAGGTGGCTAAAAAATAGCAGTTTATATAGGGAAACTTTTTTTTTGGCTTATCGGTAGAGGGGTACCGCATGGTATCTCTAGAACTCTGATAAGTGACCTCATAAGAGCCCCCCACGGCTTGGTGGGTCGCATGGAGCAATTAGTCTAATCTTAGTTTGTCCTCCACCCGAAAAGAGAAGATACCTCTTCTTTGCATCCGACTACTCCCGAAGAACCCCAGTCGCCCCCGACGATGAAACATCCCTTGGGGTGTACTTAACCCCGATCCGTTGCGTTAATAAGTGGGGCGGCAGCTGGTTCGGTGTCCGAGGGGTCTTATAATTTCCGAATTGCATCTTAGAATATTGGGGTAAGGCTCGATATATACTTCTCAGACTCCAATAGGTCAGCAAGGTCAATTAGTGGGATCCTATGCCTTAACTTTTCTTTATGCCCTTCGGGGCGGAGCGGGCCGTCTGCCTTAAAGTTGACCGAGACCGGCGGATCTGGTGATAGAATTAGAGTTTCAGCTTAAAGCCATGAACGAGTTTGTACGAGCTTTCTCCTGAGTCCCTGTCTGGAACTTACGTAATTAAACGGACGCCGACGGTTTGGAGAGTACTCTGATGTCGAGGACACGGGGATGCGGACTCGGCCGGTGTTAGTCGAGGGTTGGCCTCAGGCCTGTCCCGATGCGGTAACTCGCGCCTATCATTGCCAGCACTTTCTATTCTAGGATAGTGCTATGGCTTCTCTTCGCGATTGCAATACAGAGTAGACTTGACCGGGCTGCCTTAGCACGACTCTGGTACCTTTCTAGAATATTGCATGACGGACAATCGGTTCATGATGAGCACAGCCTGAGCGAAGCGTGACCGTTGAGGCTCTACATGGAATTCGGGAACAGGCACCAATTGCCAAGGGGAAAGGCATCTTAGCACGCAAAAAAACCAAGCGATTGCAACTGGTACCAGAGCCAAACGAGCGTCCCGAAAGACCGAGCCACTGCCCACTTCTATCTGATTTTCATTCGTGTCCCGATGGAGACGAGATCGTCAGTCCGCGTCTTCAACTTCGGCGGTGTACGGCATTCTAAAAATGTGATCCACAGATCGGGGCCGAAAGCCACCCGAGAATGGTACACTGAGATATGCCGCTCGATTCTCCAGTTCAAGGATCCATCTATCTCGGTGGATCCTATGGGGAGATAGTTAAATATAAAAGCTGACGCCGAACGAGGAAATTGTCGACGGCTCATCATCCTCTATCTGTTCTAGACCCTCTCAACTGCCCATCACTGCTCAGTCGACCTTAGTAATCGCCACCTTTTAACCAATCTATCAATATGGGCGAAAACGTTGCTCCTGAATTCGATGTCGCCTCCATGCCCCGGTATCCTCCAAGCGGAGTATCAGTTCTGGTTGTCGGTGGCGGCATCGCTGGACTAGGCTTCGCCATCGAAGCCTACCGGAAGGGTCACGAAGTGAAAATCATCGAGCGTCGTCCAGACTTTCACGATTATGGTATAGAAGTCACCCCATTCCCCTGCCTCTTTTGCACTTTTAGACCACAGATAGTTAACAGCTAGTATGCAGGTGACCTTATCGCAATTCAGGAGTCTGCACTTCACAGCCCGAGCCATTGGCCAGGCTTTCTGGAGACGTGCCGCAATTCTCCATTCCCTGGAACTGGCCATGTTCACAAGTATGATGGGACATTCCTCGGTACCCTCAAGTTTCCTCTTTCCTTGGCCAGGTCTACGTTCCATAACCTGCTCCATAATTACACCGAGAAGCTTGGAATCGAGATCAAGTTGTCGACCCTAGTCACCGACTACTTCGAAACAGATGAGCATGCAGGCATTGTCCTCGAAGATGGCAGCAAGCTCACGGCGGACATTGTAGTCGCAGCTGATGGAATTGGTTCTAAGTCTTGGAACTTAGTCTCGGGTTATAAGGAAAAGGCTATTAGCTCTGGCTTTGCCCTCTTCCGGACCACATATCCGGTTGAGCGGGCACTTGAGAACCCTATAGTTGCCGAAAGGTATAAGGAACTTGGTGAGAGGGCTGAGCTCTACATTGGACCGGGAGCACATATGATTGCCGCAAAATCGGAGAAGGACATGGTGTTTATGCTTACACATAAGGTATGATTTATGTCATAAGTGCCTAATCGGTAAGGAGTTGGCTAACCCGGCTTGCAATTCTAGGATAATGGCAGCGCAGAAGAGGAGTGGACTAAGGAGACCCCGGTCGAGAATGCCCTGCCTTATGTCGAGGGGTGGGCGCCGCATGTGTCTGAGCTTATTAAAGCTGCTCCTAATGGCAAGGCAGTTGACTTTAAGCTCATGTGGCGCAACCCCCGGGAGAAATGGGCGTCCCCTAATGCCCGAGTCATCCAGATTGGCGATGCGGCGCATACCTTCCTCCCAACTTCTGCTAGCGGAGCTACGATGGCACTCGAGGACGCGTTCTCCCTTGCTGCGTGCTTGCAGCTCTCGGGGAAGAGTAATGCCCCCCTTGCAGTAAGGATCCACAACCACCTCAGGTACGCAGCCCATTCCCTTGATCCCCAATACGGCACGGCTAACCTGGGTCTTAGGGCTGAGCGAGTTGCCTGTGCGCAAAGAATGGGGTTTAAAACCCGCGAGCTCTACCACAACACCGACTGGTCAGTCATGGACAAGGATCCTGCACGGCTCCTCCGAATGGTCGGCTCATGGGTGATAAGCCATGACCCTGAGAAGTACGTCTATGATAACTATGGCAACTGTGCCAATCACATCGTTGCGGGGGCACCCTTTAAGAACACTAATGCCGTCCCGGGATATACGTACAAGCCCTGGACGGTCCAGGAGCTCCTAGCGTATGCGGACCGAGGCGAATCAATCGCTGATGAGGGAGACTGGTCATGATGTGTGGACCCTGGCGCCATAGTGAGCCTCAAAGTTGCAGTGTGCTGTTGAACTCGACCGTCTTTTGTTAGATAGAAATATACTTTCTCCACTCCGGAAGTCAGTAGCCTATCTTGCAGATCCCGGAGCCTCCTGTGCCATACCCTATGTCGACGTACAGGGCACTCTTGGCTTGAAGGCAAAACGGTCCCAGCTATGATCATCCTGGTAATGCCAGCGCGGAAACGCAGAAACGGCCTCCGCCTTACCTCGTGCGCGTAAGCTTTGTGTCTTATCCGAGGTCATGAATGAAGATGAAACCTTTTGTATGCACCATAAGTTCAGTGGCGGCAAAAACTTTGACCTGGGGAGTTGATTACAGAGTTTCCCGCCAGCTTAAGTCTTATGTTAACGGCGATGACCTCTCACATAGTTATGCTATTTTGTTTCTTTAAAGAATAAAAAATGAAAATAAATGAACTCGTGAGTCCTAGGTCTCTTGCCTTCCGCGTCTTGTGTGTGCATGTCTTGGTCAGCCTTCATGTTCAGGGTTGCTATCCATACTACATGAGGTATGGGAACCATGACTGAATAGGTTAGCCCCCGAAAACCTAAATCTGGACCCCGCGCGGTAAAATGGTGATGCTCATGTGGCCTGTATCCGCTTCAACTCTCGGCTGCTTGATGGTCTCACAGCAAATGGGCCCAGCCCGAGTGGAAGAGGTTGATTATCGGAGTGTTGAGCATCCGAGACAGCTCTTAGTCATCAGAATGTCGGGAAATTAATGTTGGATGCCACATTACGAACCCATGACAAAGCGCTTAGAAATAATATTTGACTTGCATGGTGAGATGTCATATATCAGTGCCAGTGTGGCTAACAATCAATCGAGTTCAATTTCGGCCCTCAAACTCGATTGATTGAACCTATCTCAGCTCGATTGAAGCCTAACTTAACTAATCAGCGACCTCGATTGACAACTTGTTAAGTACTTAATATACTATGCCTAATTAGGTAATTTGTATAGACCTCTTGGTATAGAAATTCCGCGTAAGATCTTTGAAGTAATCTAATTCTTTTATATTATCTTAGCTTTAACTATGTTATCGCCGAGGCCGTTGCGCTTATCGGTGATGAGCTCATTACCGTTAGAGAATATGCGCTCTGGCTCTGCGCTTATCGCTAGTATGCTGAAGATGTTAAGAGTAAGTTTGCTGAGAATAGACTATACGTGGCGTCGGTCTACCCACCACGCTAGAGGATTCTTAACGGCCATGTTATCCTTCGACGGCACCTGCTTTATCTAGACCTCCCACTCAGTCTCCACCTTCCTCCTCTTGCCACGGCGTGGTCGATCTGTTATATGGCCCCAAGCATCGAATTCGTCATCGATTGTCGGCGAGGAAGAAGGAGAGGTCTCGGCTTGGTCGACGTGCTCAGTGGCCACCGTGACTGCAGCGAAGCGATCGTAATATACAGTGAGCTCCTTCTCTGCTGTCTTTATCCAATCCTCTCGCTTCCACCACTTCTCCCTGAAGTATTCGAATTGGTAGGCTGGGTGGAGGGCGATGGCCATGCGGTAGATCGGCGACTGGTCGGTAAGCTCGTAGTAGGTGTTGATCTTTGACCATGCAGCTAGCACGCCTGCAGAGTAGTAGGGAGGAAGGGCATCCTCGTTATCTGCATCCATGATGTCAATCTCTTCTTTGACGCTCTCAAGCTTCGTGAGCAGGAAGTCCATGGCGTAGAGTACTTGCCACACCGAGCCTTGGCCACCCTCGTTGCCCTCGCTATCTGCATGGCTTTGTAGTCGCTTCGTGAGTCGCTCGAAAGGCTGCAGGAGCTTATAGAAGAGCTCAAGCTTGTGCCAATCAGCCTCGGTGAGGAAGTCATTCTTGTGCTTGTCGTTTTTATCTAAAGGCTTCCACTGCGCCTAGTAGAGATCGATGGCAGGGCGACACTTAAGAGCACGCTCGATCATGTAATATGTCGCGTTCCATCGAATGCCACCGTCATTGAGGAGCACGCCGACGAAGAGCTTGCCGTCGCTCGTCTTCGTGACGCGCATGCGAGCTCTCAACAGCTCGCGACGCGCGTCATTGCGATTAATGTAGATAACGAGGTTGTGCAGCTTGCCAATGACGCCTTTGAGGCTCCAGAGAGCTACACGCTGCTCCTCCGAAGCCTCAATAAGATTCTTCTCCCATGCGCTGACGCCTTCGCCAAATAAGAGAGCCTTAACGACGAGATTAATAATATGGCCGATACAGCGAATACGGTCTACTTCTAGATCGATCGAGGAGAAGGAACGCTGTAACGCTTCGAGGCATTTGTCGTTATCACCAGCGTTATCCATAACGAAGGAGCCGAGCTTCTCGCCGATGCTGTATTATAGAATTACTGGCTTTACCAGAGCTGCGAGGTCGTCGCCGGTATGACCGCCATAACGTCGTGGGAAGCCGAGGAGGAGTGTTCGAGGATGACCTTTGCCGTCGACGAAGTATGCGCAAACAGCGACGTATTCTCTGCGATTATGAGCTCGCCATCCATCGATCGAGAGATTGATGTTGCTGAGTGCAGACTACACCAATTCGATGATAAATGGCAAGCGTGCTGCCATCGAATCCTTCACCCACTGCGAGAGCGTTGAGTGATGCGTTAGCAACAGGCGTGCGAGCGAAGGCTTGCCGTATGTGAGTAAATCAGTGGTCGCCTCGTCTGTGACTTCTCGGTAGCTAAGGCGTAGCTTAATAGCCCAGTCAATAAGCTTTTGCTTATATTCATCCTCATTAAATGGCAGGACGAGCTAGAAGACTTCTGCAGCGTTGTTAGCGTCGATATCGTCGTCATCGATGGTCGAATTCGAAGGCCTTTTGATATTGTGGAACTCTATAAGATGCTGGATTGCAGCAGTCGTCTATTCTGCTGCAAATAGCTGACTGATATACCGCTTCTTAGTATAGCAATCGGCGCAGAGGAAGTACTTATCATTACTACCATCTAGGACCACCTAATAGATAACCCCACCTAATATATAACTAAAATTTCGCTTCTCCCATATAAAATCTAAATTTTAATATCTATAAAAGCAGGCTAGATTCTTAATAAATATATAAGGCTTTAGAGAAAGTTTCTAGAAATTTATTTAAATTTTACTCTTTATATAGCTTTTTAACCTCCTAGCTGCTCCTTATGCGCTAATAGTGCTTTATTATAATAATAAAGTCCTTACTTTTATCCTCTGACCTAATACTTACCTTAATTACCGATTTAACCTCTTTATCTATATCTACCTTTATTTTTGCTTCCTTTAAGTTAAGAAGAGCTTTTTTAGCGACTAGAGCCTCCACTAAAGCTATAAAGCGTTAATTTAGGTTTAATATTGCCTTTCTTTTTTTCCCTCGCTGTAACTAAGCTATTTACTCCTTAAGGCTAATAATCCACGTATTCTAGATAGCTACCTTTATCTCTAAAGCTTTTAACCCCTTTATAATCTTATTATATTTTCGCCTAATTAAGTAACTTTAATATTTAGCTAAATCTCTTACTTAATAGCTTATTTTCGGTATATTATCTAAATATAATAAAAGAAAGCTTAATATCTTAAATTATTTTATAATTTTTTCTTTATTTAATTAAATTTTAGGGTATATTAAAGCCTTATAATAATTTATTACTTAATTTCTAATAAATCTCTAACTAAATAAAATAATCTCTTTTTTTATATTTTCCTCTCTAGCTTTTATATATACTTAAATAAAATTAATTTTATTAATTAATATAAAATTAATTAAATTAGCTAGCTTTTAGAATTCTTTTTAATATATACTTTTAATAATATTAAAAATTTTATTATCTAATAGCTATAAACTATAGGAATAATATATTAATAGGTAATAATAGTAAATATTATTTAGAAAGCATATAGTATTTACTTATCTTATATGCTTATTAGTAGTCTTATAGCGGGTAACTCTACGGCGAAAATACTAAAAGGCTTACCTATATATAGCTCTTATAACTATTAAAGATAATAAGCCTTATATCTAATATATCCCGAGGCTTTATTTAAGGTAGATAAATATCTTTTAATTACTTAAGAGCTATATAGTTATTAGTCTAGCTATTCGGCGATATAATATAATATTAGTCTATTATTAATTCGAATTTATTAAGAAACTATTATTTCTATAGCTTTTTCTCTTTAAAGATAATTCCCGGTTTTAAAGTATAATTAATTATAGTAATAGCCTTAATAAATAAGGTCTATATATATAACTAAGAGCCTTTTAATATCGCCTTCTTTTTTAGGTTAGAGCTTTTAATTATAAGGCTATCTAAGCCTTATAGATAATTAATTAACTATACCCTCTAAAAACTTATAGAATAATTATAAAAGACTTATTAAAACTAGCTATTATATTACCCTTATTTATATTAATTATATTCTTAGGCTTAATCGAATTATATTTTGCCTCTTAAATATTAAAGTATTAATTAATTACTTTTAAAATAAACCTATTAAATCTAATAGCTTCCTAGTATTTCTTAAGCTTAATAAATAATTTTAAGTAATACTTAATAAACCTAGTAATTTAATACTTACCTAGGGGCTTATTATCGCCTTATTATTTAAGGAGGGCCTCGATATAGGCGCGGAGTGAACTATGCGAGGGAGCATAGCCTAGAGACTCTTATCGCAGTACCTAACGGACGAGAGTCTCCTCCTAGCTCTTTAAAATACGTTAATAGGCTTAGATATGTTTTTTCCTGCTCGCATAACTAGAAAGTCGTCTAGAAATGGTCGACTATGTAACGAGAGGATATTTCCTAAGGGATAAACCAGTTATATAGGTTTATATTAGTACTAGATTATATTATATAGCCTTAAAGGTTAATATAATATTATATCTAGTAATATACTTAAGGGTATTAAGTATAACTATAAAGGACTGAAGAATAGAGGCTATATAGTCTTTAAAGCCTATAGGGTAAGTAATAGAGATAGGAGGTAAATAGG